CCCTTCCCTCTCTTCCCTCCCCCCTTTCACCACAATAGACTTACCAGCGAGAGAGAGCTGTATCGGAAATCGGATTGGTATAGGCGAATATCCCTCCTTAAAAATTGGCTATCAGTATCGGCCCCCCAGATCTCTATCAGTGCACCCCTAGTGATGTAGCTGTGATGCACCAGGAACTTTGTGAGAAGCAAGGATTTCTTAAGGTCATATATTCTCTTGGACCAAATGCATGGTTTGCACAGAGTGTGACAGGCTTTCAAATGCAAGATATTCCTCATCTCAGCTCATCTGCAAAAGCTTGTCTAACTCCATCCCAGCTATACAGTTGGTCCAGTAGAAGATGTTACCCTAAGAAATCCTTGTCTCCAGCTATATCTGAGCATTTTTTAATTCTACCCATCTCCAAACAAAGAATTTTAAGTGGCTGACACATGGCGTTTCCAGCTGCATCCCTCTTGCTGAACAGAGAGCTCATTCTACCAGAGCACAATTACTGTCTTCCACCTGCCCCAGGAATGTTGCAGGGTCTGAGATCTGTTCATTGACATTGTGGAGTAATTGCTGACCTCTCTCATATATCATGCCTTGGAGTTGGCTGCTAGGTCAGAAACCAGATTCCAGATTTGCAAGAGGAAATACCGTGATCAGCTGTATCAGGTGCACTGGTGAACCTCTTCAGTTCCACCATCCTGAGTGGCATCCTCTACCAGTCGCTTGCAGCAGATCCATGCTGAAGCAGACTCAGAGAGGAGCAAGCCGCTACTTGTCTGAATGTAACTCCAACTGAATTTGTAACAGCAACTGCTGTTCTTGGAGCTTGCTGAAATCTTGAAACGCCATAAACTACGAATTGCAGGGAACTGTGACAGGGTGCAGCTGTTCTCCCTCTTCTGCCCTTGCAGAGGTAGTACAGATTGGGTGCAGCATGTTGCTGCTGCAGGGTGTCCTTGTCTAAAAATCTGCTCATGGGCCATCGTGAATTCAGGAGACTTGCCCCATCCAAGGAGTTGGCAGTGGTCTCTTTCCCACTCATTTAGTTTCTGTTTTTCTTCTTGTATATCCCTTCCTCTAACTTGTAAAGATTTCATTATAGCTGACAATGTCTCGATCACAAAATGCAGTTATTTCTAGAGTCTTGACCTCTGCCCTCCCCATCTTCTTCCATCTGCAGGTGTCCCAATTCTTCCCCCTTTTTCTTTGAGTGTCAGGCTGCAACCTCAAACCTGGGACCTCATCCTAGCCTCCTACTGTACTGAATTAGGCTGGCTTGAAACTTCCAGCAGGGCCTAACCCTCTGCCTACTCTGTCACCCGAGTGGCTGGCCAGGGCCAAATGACCATCTGCTTCTCCCCAGATAAACCCCTGCACAAGAACAGGCAGTGACTCAACCTGACCCAAGACTGCTTCACTGGTCCCTCCAGCTTGCTCTTGGACTCCATCCTCTGGTTGATCATCTGGTTTCTTGACTTGGGTCTCTTCTAGACCCTGCTTTCACATTCATTTTCTGGCTTCCTGATCTGGTTTTGCCCTCAGATCCTGCTCACCCATCCTGCCCTTGGTTGGTGCCGTGATCCCTGGGTGACCCCAGACCTGGCCATCTACATCTCGGTGTGACGATGAGTGACACGGTGCTGTCTGCTCTTCTCCAGGGAGGCAGAGACCCAAGTATTTACTTGGATCACAGAGACCCAGACTTGTTGCTAAATGAGTACCAGTCTGGTGTAGCATTTTGCACAGAATTACGATGTCTGTACAGCAGGCGAGACAGTTAGATGAGGCAGGAAATTTCTCTTACTGGGTCTCCTGCTGAATTCTTGTCAAGAGGAAGAATTTCTGTTTTATATGGATGTTCTGCTCCATGATAGTTTTCTCTTAACAGCAAAGTTAATTCTGATACCTTCCTATGAAGTGTGGGTGTATGTGTGTTGAAATAGCCCCTTGGAGCTAAAACGGCTTGATTGCCTCTGTCAAGAACATAAAATAGCATCCTGTTGTTCTTGTTAAGTGCAGCAAAATAGGCCTTGGGATGAGATTGTGAGCACATAGCATATTTTAAAAAAAGCATAGCTAACATTAATGAAAAGTGCTAGAATGGCAACTTTTGGCTGTAAAATCCTCCTCCTTTCTCCATAGAACAGCTCTCCTGTATAGTGGCAGGCAGCTTTTCTAATATTTGCATGTAATGTGTCTCAAGATGGTTGTTCGGGCAACAGGAGGAGACTGCATTTGACATGGCCCACCTGCTTTCTGCTGCTGCTGCCAACAGAGGAACCAGATGTTGCTCTCAGCTGCATGGCTGCCTGTCTACCAGGAACTCGACTGAAGCTACAAACTGAATTGCAGATTTATCTACACCTGTGTTATAATTAATATCAAAATTGCTATTTACAGCAGTCTACTTCCTAACCATTTTTCCAGTTAGGAACAAGCACGTAATACAAGCAGCTCTTTCTTCCTGTGACCTTGTCTCTCCTAGCTTCCTGGTGTTCTACCACTGTCTCAGCTTGTCTGGTGACGGGAAGGGCAGGATCTCTAGTCTAATGAGATGCACCCCTTTTATTACAGTGACTTGCTGTGAACAGGGTGGTAAAACTGTCTGATGCACGCTGCAGCGTTCACCATTTCTATAAACTGTTGGAGCACCATTGGGATATTCTGTGGGGAAGGCACGGGCTATTTTAGCATAAGATCACATTGGTTTAATGACACAAGAAGGTGTGGGAATTTGAGATCTCGGTTTGCCTTCTAACTGGTTTCCCTCCTCCCCAGCTCTCCTTCCCCAGCATCACCACAAACATGTACAATACCAGGGCTAAGGATTTAAATTTAGCTTAGAAAAATATCTTCCACCCTACGGCTGCTTCTCTTTTTGCACTGCAGGGTGCACATTGTTTTGAATTCTGGTCTCTTTAATTCTGCTACCTGTCAAGCTCAGCTTTACAGAACGGGTCCCAAGAAAAACAGGAAGTGGTGGCTAAAACCACATGGTTGGCAGCCACCTGCAGTTCCTCTGTGGGGTGGTGCAGCACTTCTGTGAGCATCCTTGAATACTGCAAGGCCCTCACTTTCCAAGGGATGGGTCAGGATTGGGCAGTTCTGCCCCGCACATGTCTCACTCTGTGAAGAATGCTTGTGTATTCGTTTAAAAAGTCTTTCATGTGTCATGTCATGTGTGGTTGAGCTTCTGCAGAATGCTTCCAAGCAGTGCAAAAATCTCAGCAGCTCAAGACAATTGTATTGTTTTTAGCTTATATTAACTACATGCAAGCAATGAGACAGCAGTGGTTAAATTGCTTTCAGGCTCTAAAGGATGTACAGGTTAGACCAGCGTTTGGGATGGTTTAGGCCTGCCTTTAGCAGAAAGTTTGGGCCAGGTGACCTCCTGAGGTCCTTTCCAACCTTGGGGGTTTTTTTGTTTTTTATGATGGTAGTGTAAACGCTGATTATGTCTGGTCATTTTCTGGCAGAAACCGGACAGAACAATATTTCATCCTTGATGTGAAATCTTCACGTTCCTGCCTTGTTCATGGGAGGCAAGCTTCCCAACCCCTACTTTTTTTCTTCTTTCTGAGATGTGATCCTTCTGGGAACTGAGCTGACCTCACCCCCTAATTGGCGGGAGAGGGTGTTATTGAGCTCCTTCTCTCTCTCTTGCAAAGGCAGAGTCAGACTCCTTCACGGCATGTGAAGCCCCCGCTGTTTAAGGTGTTAGACCTTGGAATCAAGCCAGCGTGGAGTACTAGGCACTGCAGATCCCAAACGAACCCTAAACCTCTACCCCAGTGTTATTTTTGGTGTGGGTTTGTTAGTTCCTATACAGACACCAAACAAAGCTTGTGGTCCCTGTCTTGGCATGCTTATTGAGGAAACGAGTTACTTTACTGGAGTTAAATAGGCTTTGGATCAGAACTAGGATGGTAGCAAGAGATGAAGGGCAAGCAAACAGGAAGGATACACATGGTAACATGTAACAGGCAGCGAGCGTGGATTCTTTCTGGCTTTGTCTATGCAAAGCCGACAGCTGGAGCGCAGACGTGTTTGCCGTGTGTGCGATTCTGATTGCACGTAGATGCCATTTGCCTTCAAACCACAACAGTCAACTAGTGAAGTAACCAGGGTGACTGCAGATTCTTGTGAACCTGACACGCTTCCCTGGGACCTTCAGATGCTGAGAGAGAAATCTCATTTTAAAAAGGTGGGGGGAGGGGGTTGTCATTGAGAAGCTCCACTTGTAGCGGATTCAGCCCATGCCCATCCCCACCCTGAGGTTTGTCTCGACTTAATTTGATTTTGTCGTTTACAAATTAAGCCTCAGTTCAAGAATTATACTGACCTTTGCGGTCCCTAGTTTTTTTGCCCTAAAGGATACCTGGTATCTCCCGTCTTCCTTAAAGGGAAATCTCTTTGTATGTTTTAACCTCAAAACTGTTTAAAAGATACCTGGGGTTAGTTGTTGAGATTAAGTTGCAAAACAGCTCTACATGGCGGTGATGGGACTAATGCATCTCCTTATTCTGCAAGCCTCTAACCTAGTCATAGCATCATGCCCTGCCTGCTTTAAAATTGCAACATTCTTTTCCAAAAGTCCCATTAAGTGTCTCACAAAATGGCTCTTTTCAGAAGACGTGGTTTTCACTTCTTCCTTCACTTCCAGCTTGTAAGAAAATGCACTGCATGTAAAACCGAAGGACAAAAAACATTGGCTTGAGTCTCATGCCATCTGTACTCTGGGCAGAGAGCACCTAAAGAGCTTTGCCAGTAGTCGTATTGATTGGGTGGGGGCGCTCATTGTCTGATATGAGCAAAGACGGATCTACTCCTTGTATTAGTTATGTCTGAAATTGTAAGGCAACTTAGCATGAAACTGCCCATTGGAAAAAGGTTTATCTATTGTGAGCTTGTGTGGACTGGCAGGTTTAGATTCTGTTGCAAACAAAAGAAGTGTTAATGTTTGAAGGATAAAGACAATGTTTTTAACCTCTCTTTCTTTTCCATTCTAGTGTTCTGGGTCATGAAACTTAATCCACAGCAAGCTCCATTATATGTGAGTAGAGCCATATTTTTGTTTGCTTTTCGGTTTCTTTTTTTCTTTTGACTTTTTAAATTTGCTTTTTCCTTTGTATTTATTTTGTGCCATTTCTCCACTTTCCAGGGACCCTAGCTTTTTTTTTTTTTGTTTATTTTTGTTTTTTTGCTTCCCATGTAAATATGCAGTAAATCAGTGACAGGGAAGCATTTCAAGTAACACAGATGTCACCTTTGGACTGGAGTCTGGTAGGATGTTGTACCTTTGTTTGAGCGTGTGTGTGTGTGTGTGTGTGTGTGTGTGTGTTAATTGTGTTGGAAAAAAAAAAGTTTTTTTTTAGCCAATAATATGGCTAGTGCAGTACCCACTGAAGGCAGTGATACTTAAGCTGTGGCAAAATTTCCTTCAAAGGTCTTGTCACTGTTAGATTGCCTTGAAAAATCTTCCACTGTTGCTAGCATGGGCAAACCTTTGTTAAGTCCTTCTACTGGTAATACAGGTGAGTAGACAAGGCAATCCCTAGTCAGCAACTATAGACTGCTGCCTGGTGAGAACTGGCAGTAGATCTGTTCCAACCTTTCACATGGGGCACAGTTAGACTCTTCGAAACTAGGATTCACAGAGTTGTGCCAGCAGAAAGCTACCATATTTGCCTGCATACAACATGCACCTTTCCCCCAAAAAACAGCGACTGGAAATTGGAGTGCGTCTTATAGGTGAGAAATATGGTAAATCCAGTTTCTGCTGCTCTGGGTAAAGCTGAAAGTAAAATCTGAAGCGATCCACAGGGAGCAGAACACTGAACAGGGTCCCTAGCTGCTGCTACTTGGTTACCCCAAGGAAAGATCTTTTAATATGCACCTCTCCAAAACAAGGCACATACTGTGTTCCGGGGTGTGTGTTGTATGCAAGGCAATACATTATTTCCCTTCACAGAGCAGGCTGCAATGGCCCAGAGGTCATTTTCCTCTTGCACATCTCTTCAGTGTCTGGTTCTGGATCAGGGGGCAAGTTCCTTAATGCAGCTCCTTTTCCTCTAAGCGCTCTCAGTTCCATATGGGAATCACAGCATGCCTTCTCAGCTGGGTAATACATTATTTCCCTTCACAGAGCAGGCTGCAATGGCCCAGAGGTCATTTTCCTCTTGCACATCTCTTCAGTGTCTGGTTCTGGATCAGGGGGCAAGTTCCTTAATGCAGCTCCTTTTCCTCTAAGCGCTCTCAGTTCCATATGCCTTCCCAGCTGGGTCTAATGTTTAAGGGCTCTAGGATCCCTGTCCCTTTAAGGAGTAGATCATCCAGTGACGACAGTGGGTTAACCTCCATATTTTCGAACCCTGCTCTGAGAAGGCTTCTTGATATATGGTTAAAACTTCGTGGCCAATCTACCTTTCACCTTTGTTACCACCGTTGGACTTGAACCTGTGTTGTTGCTGGTGTGGGAGAGGGCTCATGTAAGCCCTAATCTTAGTATTACAGTAGGAGATGAGCAAGAGAGGTTATGAAGGGTGGGATGATATCGCCTATTTTTTTTTTCCAAAGCATTGACTTTGGAAAACATAGAAACATACCTAAAAGGCTTAGGAACATATAGTGACCTATATTTTGTGACTTTTAAATCTGCACATTTGTTCCATCACTGGCTTGAAACTCGCATTCCCAAAACACGTCCTTCCCATGCTCACAAAGCCCACACGGCAGTGCGAGTCTCCTCTGAAAAATGACTGTGTAAAAATGGCCCACTGAAATCTACAGCTGCCTTCTGTGTAATCTTGAAACTAATTTTAGTCTGAAGGTTGGTAAATCACTAGCAGATTGTAGACATGTCAGCTCTGAAGGGACTTGCAGTTAGTACCTGCCAGAAAGCAATTTAAAGAAATTGCAGTTTACATACATATATATGATGTAAGCACTATATTAAAGGCAGATGAGCAAAACGAGCAGAGTTTAAATTTGAGTGTTTTAGATTAACTTTATGAATTTCCTTCTTGCAAGCACTTGTTTTCCCAGTCTTAAGCATCCACTTAACATGAGCAAGATTATGTTCTCATGTTCAATTAATTCTTTCCCACCGTTTTAATTGTTTTCTATTTAATAACTTAATGCAGTGCATACATTAACAAGTTTGTTTTTTCCTCCCCCACCCTTCCATGTGTGTGATTTAAATGAAAGTCTAGTTTATCCTCAAGGTTACAAAAAGATGTTGCTGCTGGCTGTGTAGTTTTCCTTTGTGTTTGTTAATAAAATCATGACAGAACGGTCACTGTTTCAGTAGGTTTTCATCTCAGCAGCTATAAGTGTTATCTGCTTCTCCTGAAATTTAGAAAAATACCCTAGAAAAGTAAATATACAACTTAGTATTTTTTTCACTTAGTGTACTGCTGCCTAATTGCACTAGGATCACTTCCCATGTTCCATGTACTTCTAATGGACATCTGAGTTCTTCATTTGAGAGAACTGTTGCATGTAAGAGGAAGAAAAAGAAAGATTAACAACAGAAATGGGTATTCTCCTTTGTGTTACTTTCCTCAAAGGGGGCGAGGGGGGGCATACAGATGTTAGCAGTATTAGAGGCTCTTGGCATACTGTTTTTTCCATGCAGACTGATGTGCAAAGTGTAGGATCAGTTTTGAACTGCATTTCAACTAGTTAAGAACTATATCCAAAACACTCATTCATTAATAAATGACTTGCAATCTGCAAAACCAAATGACTGGCGACGACGATGATGACAGCGATTATATAAATGAAGCCTCAGATTCCATAGACTGTTTCCGGGAAGAGAGTGGGGTTTTTTTTGGTTTTTTTGTTGTTTTTTAAAGGACCCTGGAGATATGGCCATTTGATTTTATTTGTGATAAATTTATTTTTAAATGAAAAATGCATCTTAAATATGATGAGTGATTCCTACTTTTTAAGCAAGTGTCATCCTGCAGGAACCTAAACCACACACCGAGTGAAAACATCCATGTCAGTACCCAAAATATACACAAATCATTCTCTATGCACCAAAATGCAGCTTCTCTTGGATGCTGCTTTGCACTGGCACCACCTTTTTATAAAGCACCTGTTGTGGTGAAAGAGTAAAAATAGCATCTTTAGTTGAATGTCAGGGAGGTAAATGCAGGCCCATAATACAATTAGTCTCTGGGAAAACCATCGAGCAGGTCCTCAAGGAATCTATTTTTAAGCACTTGGAGGAGAAGGTGCTTAGGAGCAGTCAGCATGGATTCACCAAGGGCAAGTCATGCCTGACCAACCTGATTGCCAGTCACCTTGTCATAGAAGGCACTGTGGATGTGGGGAGACCAGTGGATGTGATATGTCTTGGCTTTAGCAAGGCTTTTGATATGGTCTTCCACAACTTTCTCACGGGCAAGCTAAGGAAGTACGGGCTGGATGAATGGGCCTGTAAGGTGGATGAAAAACTGGCTGGAGCATCGGCCTCAGCGTAGTAATCCATGGCTCAATGTTTAGTTGGCAGCCAGTATCGAGTGGAGTGCCCCGGGGGTCAGTCCTGGGGCCTGTTTTGTTTAGTATCTTTATCAAGGACCTAGAAGATGGCAGAGTGCACCTGCAGCAAGTTTGCAGAGGACACCAAGCTGGGGGGAGTACTAGATATGCTGGAGGGTAGAGCTAGGATTCAGTGACCCAGACAAATTGGAGGATTGGGCCAAAAGGAATTTCATGAAGTTCAACAAGGACAAGTGCAAAGTCCTGCACTTAGGACGGGACAGTCCCATGCAGTGGTGCAGGCTGGGGGCTGACTGCCTGGGCAGCAGCTCTGCAGAAAAGGACCTGGGGGTCACAGTGGACAGTAAGCTGAATATGAGCCAGCAGTGTGTCCTTGTTGCCAAGAAGGCTAAGAGCGTACCAGGCAGCACTGTTAAGAGTGTTCAGATTACCAAACACCTTTATACTTGTGAAAAGTGTTAGAAGAACTGAACTCAGGAAACAATCTGAACTCATGAAAGCTTTGACCTAGGATTTTGTATGATGGGGAAGGAGGTGAATTCATTGACATAATACCCCAGGCCCCATGCTATGGTTGACATTCGCTATGGTTCTGTGTAGGGGAAGGGAACCCCCGGATCACCACAGCATCTGGCTCTTCATTCTCCCTTTTGTATTGGCTCAAGCAGCCACATCGTGAGCTCTCACAAACTAAGCTGAGCCGGGACAGGTCCGCTCCTATGCAAAGACAGGTCTTTGAGGGAAGGTGGAAGGGGACAGAGCTGGAAATACTTTTTAAAAGTAAGCGCGACTTAAATCTTCAGAAGTGTTCACGGATCACTCCCTGCTGAACAGCTCTGCAGAAACAATCTGCAACCTTTTGCAGCAACATCCGCCTGCCATCAAACGCTTCCTCTGGGAACACCTCCTTGGCTTGTTTAGATGACGTGCCCTGTAACAGCAAGAGTCGCTCAGGAACAGCACAATGCCAGGGCACTGACATGTCCAAGAGGAGTCACCTGTAAAAGACAGCGACTCTGTGCCGTGTAATGGAAAATCAGGCCAGAGTGACAGAGTCTGTTCTGCCAGCACATGCAGTACTGCGGGAAAACAACCTGCCTGTGCTTTGCGTGTGTGGTTGCCTCCCCCACCCCAAGAGAATTGTATCTAGCTTTAAATCTTTGTGTAAGTTATCTCCACTTAATAACAATGCTTAATGCATTTTCTGTTTGCTTCAGTGTTTGGCTGTTCTCCCACTGTACATAGTGATGCAGTCATGAGGTCTCATAGCTTATGCCAAAAGAGATAGGGCTGTCAAGTGTTCCTCAATATAGCACAGTGGAAGTTAAGCATAGTGCGACGTAATTAATGCCAATATTGAAGCAGTCTGTAGGTCAAGCAGCTACTGGAGCAGTGTAGCTGTCAGCACTTAGTTACTTTATAAATGACATGGTGTTTCAATTCTGAGTTTTTTAGAGTTGAACTTGTACTATGAATTTAAGGTAAAAAAAAAATGAACCCACTTTTCTTCTCTTTAAAATCTCACAGTAGGGTTTTATAACGTAG